GAGAGAGAGAGAGAGAGAGAGAGAGAGAGAGAGAGAGAGAGACCTCGAGCTGTCGTTTAAATGCTTTGACGCGCTTTCAGGAGACGGACTACTCTTTCGTCTAAGAACGGCGCAGTCCTGAACCGGGAATCACGAATGGTGGTGAGCGCAGAGCTCAGTTGTGACCTTGACCAGCTATTAATCGAGCGACAGACAGTATGAGGCTTTCTGCTGACTCGCACTCTACACGCCACTGCTGTCGGAATAGCGCTGTGGTCCTGTTTCCTCTCAAATGCCTTGGCATTCATGCGGCTGCAAGAGGGCGGCGTTTCGGGGCCGCGTGATGGAGGGATGGATGGATGGATGATGGTACCTTTATCATTCATGCGCGCCGATGCACACGCATCTGCTGTTTCACATTCAAAATCACATTCACATTCACATTTATCCAAAATTTGAATTCGGTGACTTGCTAGAGAGCGAGAGGCGCCCCGTGCGTGCGTGCAGGGAGATTTCATATGCGCAGATGGGTGCATATAATACTCAGACTGGGTCAGCTTATTTTGCCGTACCGGTACCGACAATGCATGCATGCCACTTTCATTTGATGGGCGCCGCGAGCCGTATGGACTATTCGCCGGGCGTTTTGAGTGTTGGAGAAGGCCCCTAATCCCGCTGACCAAAAGTGATGGGTGCAGGCAGGCAGGCACGGCGAGCTGTTGCAGCAAAGGAAGGCCATTTCGCGCCACAAGATCCCGGATTGTGCAACAACGATTGAATCAGAAGAGGCTCAAATTGAAGCAATCTGCGATGATTGTGCGCTACAGTTTTGAATGCTCTTCCATCTCGCGCGATCATGATTGGGGGGCGCGTGGGAGGAGAAAGGCCATGTCGGAGAAACGTCGTGAGTGGTTGGTTGGTGTCTTGAGGCAGCTTTCCTCCTTTCCCCCATGAAATTCGCCTGCGCGCAGGGCAGATCTCGAGAGGGGGCTTGTCTCAAGGCTTGTGATTCACCGCGAGTGCTTCTGCCGCTGCTGCGCATATCTCCTGCAACGTGGCCATACCCGTGTCAAGAGACTCGGGCAGCTCGATGCCCAGCTTCTCTTTGACCTGGCTGGTCAGTTCGAGGTGATACAAGGAGTCCCAACCGTACGTTTCCAATCGCTGGTCATCTCGAAACTCCTCCCGCGCATGATCGTCGTGGAAACCGAAGATGTGCAGCACGAGCTCCCTGATATCGCGCGTGACATGACGAGCTTCCGCACCTGGGGCAATACGCGCAGCAGCTTCCAACTCGCTTGCCTCCAGCAGCCGTGGAGACGGGAAGACGGACGTCGAAAAGCCGTTTGACGCGGGCGGCGCGGGAGGTGAGGGTGTTGCTGGTTCTTGCAATTGCACAGCGGCACTATCAGACTGCATCAGCGATGCAGGCAGTTCTGCAAGAGCACCTGTGATGTCGTCGACGCTTGTGGAAGCGGCGGCAGGGAGGCGGGGGGACGAAGCAGATCGCTGGCTTGCTAATGAATCGAGCAGATGTCTCCATTGTGGATCAAGCCTGTATTTGCTGTGTGGGTCATCTACCATATCATGAGCGAGTGTGGCGAGGTAAATCATTGCAGGCGGACGTTGCATTAGCATCAACTTTTCGATTTCCCTGTACGCCTTGGTGTCAACGAGCGGCGGGCACTCGGCGTTCAGAGCAGGGCTCAAACCATCCAGCATAGGCGAGCCGGGCCAAGACCCAAATCCGATGGCCATAGCGGGCAGACCTTGAGTCCGCCTGAAACTTGCGAGCGAGTTCAAGAAGAAGTTGGCAGCAATGTAGTTCGTCATAGCGGGGAACACGTTCACGGTGCTGCGATCGATCGATCGATCGTCGACGTCAAGTGTCAGTAGAGGCTGGCAACATTACAAGTAGAAGTGCCGTCACTCACGCAAAGGTAGAGAAGAGGACAAAATGTTCAAGAGTACTCGGGGCGTGCTGGTGCAAGTTCCAGGCACCCTTCACTTTCGGTGCGAAGACTTCATCGTACGCCTCGCGCGACTGCCCGCGAACTAGGGCAGGTCGAGTGACTCCGGCCGCGTGCACGATGCCTTTGACGGTACCAGGCAATCTGTTCATTGCGTTCGACACGCTAGAGCTGCTGTGCAGGTCGACGGTTTCGTAATGCACTTGCACACCCGCAGGCAAGCGCTTTCGAACATCAGCCAAATAATCCTGCGAGCGTACGAGCAAAGAAGATTTCAGCGTGCTCTGCACAGATGTAGATGGAGACCGGAGCTGCTTACTGGATCTCGTTTGCGCCTACCAAATATAGCAACCTGCTGTACTCTCTGAGATGTGACGAGCCAGGGTAAGATAGCCGTCATAATGGTCCCCGAAGCACCAGTGATCACCCAAGTGCCTTCGGAAGGCAAACGGTGTTGGATCTGAGCAGGCTGATACTTGTCCAAGCTTGGTGCCAATCTTCGAACAACACCATCGACAATTTCGTATCGGAAAGGTCCTGGTGGAAGGCTCTGCGCCGACAGAGCCAGTATCTCTTCGGTAGCAGAAGCTATTTGCGCGGGCCGAAGGAGCGCGGAAGTGTCCAGAGCGACGCAAGTTGTCCGGCCACGC